CCCCACTTCCATATCTCTCGACCATTAATCTCACCCCATCCTCATATCACCCCAAACCTATCCCTTCTTCTCCGCAGCATCCTATCATTTCTAACGATCCCTTCCACCCCCCTCCTGTCATCCCCTGCACCTCGCTTTCTCATCACTCACATCCCTGCCTTCCCACACAGCAATACTATTAATTTACAGGTACCACACATCATGCACTGCCTCATACATCACTAAAAGCTACCCAAACATATCACTCACATATATGTAGCTCCTCACACAAATCCACACAGACAAACATAACACAGTCACCCCACACCTACACAAAACACATTAACCGCTCATACACAGCCTTCTAAAAATATTAAAAATATTCCCAGGTGCATACTCAAGGTACTGTATAAATGTGAATAATACAAAATAATAATAATAATAATGGCACACAGTGTGTTCTCTGAATGAGTTAATGAAGACAGACATATGACTGACTTTGTATCCAGGACGGAATACTTAGCAGGATGCTCTCATGCAAACAATGCTCCTGCAGGTGCGTCATGCTCAGAATTCCATGTGACAAACCTCCTGATACATTAGACCGCAAGCTTCTAAGTTGTTTTCATTTATAATGAAAGCAGCGTAATCCATACTTTGCTATTGTGGACGCCAGGTGCAGAATGCATTAAAGTTCCACGTTTCTTATTATTCGTTTTACTTGTAGTTTTCTTGTTAGACACCTGAAGTCCAACCCTCCCTTTTCATAGGCTAATTACACTTAACCACTACTAAATCCGTGCCATGTGCTTCTGAAGGAGAGAGTGATAATGGAGCGTTAAACCAGAAAGGCAAATATTCATTCCTGTTTACAGACTCTCAGGAGAAACTTTGTCTTTCTTTTTAAGTATAAAGCATTTTTTTTGTTATTTTTAAGTAGCGCGCTTTGCACAAAAACAAAAAAAAACAAAGCTGGCACCTTAATGGTTATATTGCTTGATTTAAATATTGCACCACTAGTGATCGCTGAATCAAAGTATTGCGTTATTTTATATTCCTGATGTCATTGCGGTGTGCTTAATGATTATCTGCATACTCTCTTTTTTCGCAGAATATATCAATCTGTGACTGAGCCAGACCCATAATGGGATCATGTAGTTATATGGGGAGCCCACTGCCCACGCCTTAAAGAAACATTACATAATTGCTACATTTATAGACCTCTCACAAACAGTCTATAGACTATGATTGCTTATATGCACAAACCAACCTGTAGGATATGCCTCCCTACTGTCCCAATGCCATTCTGCCAAAATTTATATCTAAAAGCAGCTTGCAAAACCTGCAAATCTCTTGTCTGCAGCCTTTGCAAACATTCCCCTTCTAACTCTTCCCAGACTTCCTGTGGCTGTCCAATCACAGATTTCACAATTTTATTTTGTAAAATTATATATATATTATTTATTTTTGTAAAGACGATTAAAGTAGTTATAATTGGCACACCAGCTTGATATATTTCGGTCCATTTTAATGCATACAATGCTGAATTCTACTTACATATTGCCTGTAGTGTCGCTTTAATATTTTTACTTATTTGGCAATGGATAGGAAGGAACCTGGAAAGTAAATCTAAATCTCACGAGACATCAGGTGATCAGGTTCCAAATTTCTTATGGTACAAGCACCTTTTGAAGTAGCCAATACTGATTCATAGCAAATCTAATCCTTCAGTAAGATTTCTATATTGAGCTCAGACAATATATATGTATATCCAGGAAGCCTCTGAAAGGTATAATGATCCTGCTGCTGTTTTGGTGAAGATCTTATAGTTATAATGAGTTAATTACTGAGATCTAATGCCATTCTGAGCAATTATGCTTCCCACACGATGACAGGCATTGTCAGTTGTACATTACAAGGCTCCTGTCTTCTGAAATACGAGAGGCGTTTTAAATTCAACTTGTCTTAGATCTTCTCTCTGTTTACGATCTTAAATAACCATTACTTTTCTGTACTTTTCTGTACTTCTACTTGTTTATATTATATATATTATGTTTTGTAAGATCTGTAAAAAAATAAATGCACTCTTGTCCATGATTAAAAAAAATGTAAATGTGCGAACTGGCATCATGTAACAAGCAAATGCTAAGTGTATGTATCTTTGTATGTGTCAACATTTACTTTTAGTTTGAACAATCTGCCTGTGCAGTGACAATAAAGGGAAAATAATGCAACATCATACCTACTAACAATTGGTCGGGGAGAATTTCAGCCCTCACTAGTGACGCCAATAGTGGGCCCACTAACAGGCTGCCTGGCCAGCCTCCAGCCTTCAGTATAGGTCTCTGCATGGTCCTAATTCCAGCGGCACATTGCAATCACGTTTAACGATGCTTGGGGACAGTTCCTTGGTTTCCTCAAATGCGGGACGCCAGGCAACTAAAGTGGAATGGCGAACAGAACCCCAACATTGGGACTGTCTCGCCAAAAGCGGGACTGTTAGGAGGCCTGCAATATTGGTGTCCCATTTAAATAGTTTCCAATGTAACTGTCAAGTTTATTCGATTACAATTAACTGTTGATGAGTTCCTTTTCTTTAAGTGCTCTGGATGTGTAAAATTATTTTAAGTAAAAATGAAAAAATAAAAATGTATTTTATGTTTATTCGATATATATATTTAATTTCTTTTTTTTTTATAAGTTATATATTTGTTTAAATGATTACAGTAATTTAGAATTGTCATAGTCACACTAGCTTTACATGATTCCACCCATTTTTGTCCATGTTAATAATGAAAAAACTAATTTCTAAATTGAAGCTAACATAGCCAAATCGTGACTATAGCTGCATTTGGCAATTCTAAATTCAATATTTTGGCTTAGATTTAGCAATTTGTTTTTAAAGTCACAGAGTAACTGTATGACTGAATACACTACGTGTTTTAGATGCACTTCAATTTTATAGCCATGTGCCCAAATGAACTTGTAACGTTTGCTGGCTAAGGAAAGCACAGATAATGTCAAGAGAGATGAAATCTTCCAGTGATATCCTAAAACTACTTCTATTGAATGTACAAAGAATGAGATTAAGCAAATTTTCAAGTTTTTTTTAGAAGATAATGAACTGCTATGTAGCCAGTGAATGTGCAAACAAAATGAATCAACAGCTTTAGGACTGTGCCTCACAATGTCTATTTAAGTATATTGCTAAAAGTGTAAATGTGCCAGAATGTTGCATATTGCTCAATTAAAGGGCAGCAAAATGTGGCTACAAATATAACACAAATATAACACAATGCCCCATGCTACCCAGTATAGGATCTAATGGCCAATTATTGTCAGTTACATAGCACCAACGTATGTTTATCGTTTTATAATGACTCTAGCAAACCTCAAACAACTGACAAAGAAATATGAAAAAAGTTAAGGGGTCAAGTCAACCCTTATGGGCCAGGGCACTTGCATTTTTTTAAACAGGAGTTTTACCTCTTGGGGGACAGTGAACTTTGGCATTTCCTGGTCCCCCCATATTAAAGTGGTTAACCCTTTAGGGACCAATACATAATGATATTGGTTTACCTTTCTTGAGTATGACAAAGACTGGTCATCTCCTTGCCACCGTAAATATAATTACTATCCACCTGAAATCAGTGAGGTGGAGGAAGAGGTACCAGAACTTCTTGGTATGATTTGGGTCTATGGTACCCCATTTTTGTGCATTTATTAATTTATTTTTACTATCATTACTACGTAATAGTCTCTGTGTGAGTAAGCCAATCAGCTCCCTCTTGCAGATCTGAGCACATATTTATTCAGGCTCGTTTTATTATTTTGTGATTGCAAACTGTGCCACAATGAGACTGATATTTTTCTAGCTTTGTGCGTTGTTAGTACTTATTCACTATCTGAGATCAGTTATGCTGTGATAGTGAAAATCACACATCTAATTTCCAAGTTTAACAGCAGCACAGCTATCTACACCTCTTAATGATTCACTGTGAAAGTATTTAGTAATGTAGTCTTGTGTTAAATTATATTTTATCTGCTGACCTGAAGAACACCACGTGATACTTTTATGGCATAACTTTGTCATGGCCCGCATGGTGCAGATTATGGTAGAGGTCATTTATATTATTTGTTTTGTTCATCAAAGGATTGTTTGAGAGCTGTCAGCTGATGCTCTCAGCCAATCAGTGACTCCTTATTCACTAAACTGGCTTGCAAAAGGTATGTTTCTTTCCAAGCCAGTTCAGGGAATGGGGAGTAACTGATTAACTAAGAGCATCAGCTGACCGCTCTCACTCAATCAGCGGCGTCTCTGCCTGGTGGCACTTCCCGCTTCGCTTTGAATCTCGAAATCCAGAAGCAAGAAGCTGCCAGGGGAGAAGTGGAGACCAGCGCTGGAGACAACTTAGGGGTTAAACTGTTCGAGAACGGTTTAACCTCTTGGCGTAAGAGTGCTTCCAGGGACCTCCTGGCACCAAAGCAACTTAATTTAGATGAAGTTGTCTTGGTGCCTGGAGTGTTCCTTTCAACTTATTTTTCCAAATGGGCATCTTGGTCACTGTTTTATGAATTAGGCTTCATGGTCTACTAGATGTCTATATTTTATATGTATTGCCATTGTAGACCATCTGGGTCATTCCTAAATTGTTGACTCTTACAGCGTTATTCACTAAAAAGAGAATTTGAAGTGAATTTTAAATTTAAGGTCAAAATAGCTGACATGCTTTCATTTTGGCTAAAATTTGAAATTCACTTTGAATTCAAGTTCAATTCCAACTTGAATCAATAGCCCTGTTTGAATTTACAGATTCAGGTTTGTAAAACACTGTCCTAGTCAAAGATACCAGGAAACATATTATATTGGTTACTACACTACTAGCACTTGCTGTCAAGGTGAATGTGTCCTCACTAGTGATGTCCCGAACGGTTCGCCACGGACGGCGAACATATGTGCTGTTCGGTCCGCCCCCTATTCATCATCATTGAGTAAACTTTGACCCTGTACCTCACAGTCAGCTGACACATTACAGCCAATCAGCAGCAGACCCTCCCTCCCAGACCCTCCCACCTCCTGGACAGCTCACTAAGAATGCAGCTTCACAATGAATGTAAAATGGATGCTGTCCAGGAGGTGGGAGGGTCTGGGAGGGAGGGTCTGCTGCTGATTGGCTGGAATGTGTCTGCTGACTGTGAGGTACGGGGTCAAAGTTTACTGAATGATGACATAGGGGGCGGACCGAACAGCGCATATGTTCGCAGTCCGTGGCGAACTGTTCGGGACATCACTAGTCCTCACCCTTAAAATCTCTTTTGTCTCTTTTATCTATTTTTCTCATCAGCCATTTTTATTTTTATTTTATTTGATATATAACGAAATGCTGCTTCCAAAACTGATACTGAAATTTTATCCTCAAAAAATTGTAGAGAATTGAATAGGAAATTACAAATTTTACTCTAAAATTGTCCAATTGGAAACACATTGGTCCTTTATTAACTAGATCTATTAAAGGGACCCTATAGTCACCAGAACAACTACAGCTTATTGAATTTGTTCTGGTGAGTTGAATCATTACCTTCAGGCTTTTTGCTGTAAACACAGTCTTTTCAGAGAAAATGCAGTGTTTACATTACAGCCTAGTGATAACTTCACTGGCCACTCCTCAGATGGCTGTTAGAGATCCTTCCTGGGTCATGGCTGCCTAAAATGCATCCAAACATTCAGTGTCTCCTCCCTCTGCATGCACACATTGAACTTTCCTCATAGAGATTCATTGGTTCAGTGAATCTCTATGAGGAGATGCTGATTGGCCAGGGCTGTGTTTGAATCATTCTGGCTCTGCCTCTGATCTTTCTCCTTGTCAGTCTAAGCCAATCCTATGGGGAAGCATGTTGATTGGATCAGGCCACCACTTCTGATGATGTCAGCAGACAGCTTGTTTTTCTGCAGATTCAGGCTTGATTACAGTAAGATTTTGCTATATTTATGGAGGCATGAAGGGCCCAGGGGGCTAGATGGTGGATTTAACACTATAGGGTCAGGAATACATGTTTGTGTTCCTGACCCTATAGTGATCCTTTAACAATTCCTGATTCGGAGAATAACAATTCCTGGGAATTTTAGAAACCCAGGACCCTTCCTGCCAGTGAGTTATAGTGATTACAAGTGATGATAATTCAATGTATTTGTGTGTTAAACATTTTATGTCACTTTTTACAACTTTATAACGCCAAGGTTTTATTTTTTTTTCTGGAGATGAGAAATATTATACACGTCTATGTTCTGTTACATTTCATAACCCTGTCTCAGACTCAGTTAACCCTTGGAGTACCTGAGGAAGGGCAGTGGATTTGGCAAGCAGTGTTCACATCTCTGGAGTAAACTTGGTCTTTTGTAAATCATTTTTTTGCTCTCGTGAACAAAGGCTGAGCATTACTATAAATGATTTGAACACTGATGTTCTACCACATTCGCTATCAGTCTAGTGACTAGCCACTGAAATGATCTGTTAACATTTCCATTTGGTATTCTGCCAAGAATACATCTTGAAACAATTGATAATGAAACCTTTTAGCTATTTTATGTCTGCCAGCAAGTCTTTTACTAACCGTCTGCATTTCCAGTGTAGCGGTAAAAAACAAAAGGTAAATGTACTTGGTATATTACTAGTGGGCATTTCTCGGTTTCTCTTTGTTATTGAAGCGAAAGATGAACTAAGGAGGAACATATTCTGATGTTAAGGGCAAAGTTTGAGGAATATCTGGAAAAATAAATCTGAATCACTAAACACATCATTCTCATTCGTTTATCTCGATAAATGTCAAAACAGTTCTTACTCACTTCTTACAGCACATTAGATGCTTCGAGGTTTTGGATTATTACCTTTTCATCGATAGTCTGTAACAAACAGCAAAAATTCTGCATAAACAATGTTTAAAGCAATACACTCTTACAAATCATGTAATGTCGTCATTCCAGCCATAGTTATCTGGGTTTAATAACCAGTTTGCCCAATGTAATTGGTTCCAGTCAGGATAAAACGTGTTCGTAACCCATAACCCACTGCTTATTTTAAGGTTCCTACTTTGCATATTTTATTATCTATAATTAAAAAGAAACAAAAAGGGCAATCATTTCTAGAGTAGTGGTTCGCAACCCCAGCTTCCAGGCACATGGTCCAGAATTGTCCAATGTTTCACAGGAACAGAACTAGGAAATGCCTAAATCCTGGACTGTTGGTGTGTCTTGAGAACTGGTTTGAGAACCACTGTTTTAGAGTTTACTTTGTGGTAATCCTGCGATATATGTTCTTATCCAAAATTATTATTATTATTATTTTTTAAATTATATTATTAAACTGGTTAATAGCCATGTGACGGTTCATCTGGCACCCCGACTGGGTACCTCCGTCAACAGATGCTTCCTAGCTGACGCTGAGGACCGTAAGCACCGCACTGGACACCACAACCACCACCGCTGACTCCACAACCGCCGCAGCTTAGCTTAGCTTCTTCCCACCCTGGATCAACCTTTGATATCCAGGACCGTGTGGGAAAGACCAGAGAGCGTAGCTGGAACAGCTCTTAGAAAAGCTTGTGATTAGAACCCAGGGGAGTATAAAGAGTATAGCTATTCACAATGTGAATATAGCAGTTCCCCCTCCAATCACAAGACCAAGCTGCGTGTTGAGGGTTAAGCAATAATTCAATTTTAATGGAGGCACACTGGCCTTTTATGCAAGTTTCCCAACAAGGGTTACACCCACGTCGACCTTGTTGGGCACAGGGACACAAAGTTAACAAACCAATAAAAACAGAGTTGTACAGTGAGACACTCCCATAAAGTATACACAATACCTCCCCTCTGCCTGGGAGATAAGTAAGGCAGATAATGCATTAACTTAATTATCCCCAGGCAGAAAAACACACATTTTCATAAAGTATCATAAATACCCCAAAACACAACATACCCCATAAATGTCACATCCCACCAAAAATCACCCAGATCAGAGCAGGGGTAAAGAAATTCCTGGAAGTCTCTTTTTGACCGACCACACCCATGGTTACATGCCCAAAACAGTTCCAGAGAATTAGGCTGTGCGGCTGGTCTATTTCAAACAGTCGAAATACCGTTTGAATTACTGAACGTAGTGGTTGATGAACATAGTCAGTGTGTCCCTTGATTGTGAGCTTTGACTCAGCGAACGCCGTTCGACCCCTGTTTGAATAGCCGAAATTCCATGGAAGGTAACTGTTCCGCGGTGTTCATGCCATTGTGTGTCTTATTTGAGTTCCATGAACTCAACGATTAAACACCACTGAACACGTTCGACTAAACAAGATGGTCGCCACGTTTTCCACTATACGAACGGCAACCACCCAGCCATTCGTCAATTTGGCTGTGATTAACTACCAGCCTGGGAGGTAAATGGGCTGCACCAGGGCCGGACTGGGAGAAAAATTCGGCCCGGGCATTTTTTTAACACAGTGGCCCACTAAAAAGGGGGCGGGGCAGAGGAGGTGTGTTTTGTCATCACCAATGACAAACACGCCCTTCTCTCAAAGTGAGCATGTTGGTTCAATGCTCTTCCAGGGCAGACCATGCACAGAGCTCTGCTGAAGAGCTCTAGCATGAGAAAAAAGTCCTGTATTTGTTCTGCACAGTGCAAGCAAAATTAATAACATGCTTGCACTGTGTTTCCTTGCAACTTGTCTCTGGTGTCTTTATAAATGGATACCAGGAGACAAAAGGCCAAGAAAGAGTATTGTGCATGTGTTTGGAGCCTGCTTGTGGTATTGCGTGTGTGTAGAGTGAGCTGGTCGTGGTGTGGTATTGTGTAATAAGGTCGGTTTTAGTCGTGTTGTGTTTGTGGTGTAATGTGATGCATATGTGGCTCAGGGACCCCCTCCAGCCCGGCTCTGGAAAGGGGTTAAAACTTACCTTTTCCAGCGCCGGGCGGGGAGCTCTCCTCCTCCGATCCGCCCCGTCGGCTGAATGCGCACGCGCGGCAAGAGCTGCACGCGCATTCAGCCGGTCGCATAGGAAAGCATTTATAATGCTTTCCTATGGACGCTTGCGTGCTATCACTGTGATTTTCACAGTGAAAAGCACGCAAGCGCCTCTAGCGGCTGTCAATGAGACAGCTGCTAGAGGCTTTGGGGGAAGGCTTAACCCATTGATAAACATAGCAGGGTTAACCCTAGAAGGACCTGGCACCAAGACCACTTCATTAAGCTGAAGTGGTCTGGGTGGCTAGAGTGGTCCTTTAAGAGTGTAGTGTGTGTGTGTGTGTATGTATATATATATAATATATAATATATATATATATTTGGAAGTACTGTGTATGTGTGTGGTGCAGTGTGTTGGGGGGGTTCTGTGTGTATGTGAGGGGTGCAGTATGTGTGTGTGTGAGGGTGCGGTGTGTGTGTGAGGGGTGCGGTGTGAGAGTGCTGTGTGTGAGGGGTGCGGTGTGAGAGTGCCGTGTGTGAGTGATGGGTGTGAGATGGGTGTGAGAGAGTGCTGTGTGAGAGTGCTCTGTGAGAGAGTGCTGTGAGTGTGATGGGTGTGAGAGTGCTGTGAGAGTGATGGGTGTGAGAGAGTGCTGGGTGTGAGTGCTGTGTGTGAGGTGTGAGAGTGCTGTGTGTGATGAGAGTGCTGTGTGAGAGAGTGCTGTGTGTGATGGGTGTGAGAGTGCTGTGTGTGATGGGTGTGAGAGTGCTGTGTGTGATGGGTGTGAGAGTGCTGGGTGTGAGAGTGCTGTATAAATGTTATTGTGTGTGTGTGTGTGTGTAGGGGGGGGGGTAAATAAAAAAACAAAACAAAAAAGTCATTATTCTTCCCCCTCCCCCCCCCTCCCTTCTTACCTTTAGCCTGGAAGGGAGGGGGGGGACCGGCACGCTGGGACTGGGAGGGGGGGTCCGGCACGCGGTGTTCCCTGGTGGTCCTCGTGGGTGAGTGAACTCTAGCCTGTGAGGCTAGAGTTCACTCTCGCGAGATCCGGTTGTTGCCATGGCAACGTGCCGGATCTCGCGAGAGGAACCCGGCGGAGCTGCAAGTTAGAGCTCCGCCGGGTCCTCTCTCCAGCCTGGCTGGCTGTCTCCCTCTCTGCCCGCCGGCGGCCGCATGTGGGCCGGTCAGGGAGATCCTTGATCTCCCCACCGGCCCGTCGTGACAAACAGCGGGGCCG